CCATGGACTCTCGTCGATTGCTGACAAAGTTAGTCATCATTGTTTGGAAGTCAAACATAGAGCGAGTTGATAATTCTCCGTCGGGCTGAGGAAACGGAACTACGGTGTTTTTGATAGATAGGTTAATCGAACCGACGTTCCTACGGAAGTCGATTCTAAGGGGAAGGTAATGTAAAAGCTTAGATCGATTGATTAAGAGTTGACCTCAAACAACTAAGCATATGTAAAAACAGTAGAGTTCAAGTATTCATTCACCTCATTATTTTGTATAGACGTTATATCTCCTCTTATCTTGTATTGAATGTTGAGAGGCTTTGTTTGCCTGAACAGGTAATCCCACGCTCCATTGTGACTGTGCGAAGATCTAAATAAAGATCTATTTACTATTAGTCTGGTAACCTACAAGGAAGAAACCCTTCTGCACATGGTCCTTAAAAATGACAGCAACGATTGACATCCAACTGGTGATTGTTGATGGTAGAATACGAAGACCAATCCTGATCGTTACACCTCAAAATTGATCTGAGTAAAGCATTTAAACAAATTTTTATGTCCACAGACGGCATCCTTAAAACGGCTATTATCATTCCTTACAGACTCTACGAATTTTCGCTCATCCTCTTCGATTTAAGAAACGCTGCATAAGCTTTTGTGATGTTTTCACAGAGTACTTACTTATACCTGTTAACCCTCATGGACGAACATATGTCACTCACCAGCATTCTTCATCGAACTCTGTTCTGAACAATCCTTCATAATTGTTCCCAGTTGCTATTAATTCCTTTCATGTTTGCTTCCAGTTCTCAGTGCAGTGTGTTCTTTGGTCTTCCGCCTTCCATTTTCCCCTCAGGATTTTAGGTTAGCGTTTGCTTCGTGATGCAGCTTGATGAATTCTGTAGTGTAAGCCCCATACATCTCCTAAAATCCTTTTCAGCTGGAAGCTAGCTTGTTCACTTCCATAGTAGGTTGATGCTGATGGTATCCGATCAATGAATAATGAGTCTCTTGTGTAAAACATTGTTTACAAATACGCTCACTTTTTGATGATGGTTGTAGTACTTCTCTGAGTTCCAGTTCCTTATAGTTGAACTGTTTCGACGTTCGTATTGAAGATTCTGTGATATTAATTGACAGTTGTTTTGAGTTCCATGTATTCTTCAAGTGTTGGAAAGCTGTCTTTGCCTTGCTAATCCATCAAGTGTTATTGGGTTAGTATGCTGCTTTGTCTGACTGCAACCCTCAATTGTAATGTGTCTGTCAGCTGGCCTCCATGCATGACTTTGCAGTGTAGTCCATCGTATGAATTCCATATGATGTTGAAGATATTCTCAGGTGCACTATAGTGTCGAAGAAGGTTCCTGAAAGTGTTAAATACTTCCTCTCAATCAATGAAGTTGATGAATGGTGACGAGTTCCATTCGAATGACTGCTCAACAATTATCCATACTGTTGCTATTTGGTCCATGCACGACCGGTTCTTACGGAATCCGGTCTGTTGATCTCAGGGCTGAGCGTCAACTGAATCATTCATCCGGTTCAATAATCTGTTGAAAACCTTTCCAAGTACTAACATTAGTGTAATGCCTCTGCGGTTCTGACATTTACTCAGATGTTAATTTCGTATCTTAAAGAGATATCGTTTTTCCCAGTCGGTCATTGGCACTTGTTCTTCCTTACAAATCTTTCTGAATAGAATGTGAAGCATATTTGCATTTGCTTCTATGTCTGACTTCAGATGGTATGTTTTCAGGTCCTGTTGCTTTCTCACTCTTCCTTTGTCGGACTGTCATACTGATTTCTCCGATCGTTGGTGGGATGACATCTCTAGAAAGGTCTGTAGATGCTGCTTCGATATCAGGGAGACTTGAAGGAGCTGGCCTATTCAAGAGTTCTTCATAGGGTTTTACCCATTTGTTTCTCTGTTCTAGAATCTCAGTGATTGTCTCACTTTCCTTATCTTTGACCGGTCTCTCTAGTTCACAATATTTTCCTACCAGTTTCCTCCTTGTGCCATATAGTTGTTACACTTTTTCCTTTTCTTGCAGCTTTTTCCAATGTCGACTCGACTCTCACCATGAGGCGTCAAAACTCTCCTGAATGAAGATCCTCCAACTCAGAGGACAGAGTTTAAATGGTTTAAATGATTTATTCCGGTTAGCGTCTTTTAGCAAGGTTTTTTCCCACGGAATCGAGTTGCTGAACCTATGCCTAACTCTTTTCCTGTGTATGGGCTTTGGAACGACAGTAGCCCTAGAACAGCTACTGTTAGAATTTTCATTTATCAGTTACTGTAATATTTCACTGTTATGTTTGCTTACAATATAGATTTGAATACGTTCATGGGAAGCGCAGTGAAGCTGTACACTTGATAACACTTTTGGTGCGAATATATGACATGCGAGATGAAGGGGGTTAGACAGTCAGTAGCATGGGATTCAAAGACACATTACTTGCTTTATCACTCTTATTTATCGCTTTTATTTGTGCTATCCTAACTAATTTTTCTATGTTTATTTATTAACTGTTATTGATGCCTATATTTCTTGAGTCGTTTCCTTCCCATCTAGTTAATTTCTCCCTACTGAATGTATCCAATATGTAGAAAATCTACTTCAAAACCAACGTTGCTTAGCACTTTCTGAATATTAAGTTTCAAATACATCATTTCCTTTTGTTTATGATAGACTAACTATCCAGGATTCAGTCGTGTACTTGTAGTGACCTACTTTTATCAAGAGAACGCGATTGGTGTAATGGAAAGAATTATTATTATAACCAATTGCACCAGTGATTATTTTGCCGTACTTGTTTGTTTAACTTGTAGCGGTAAATAAATCCCCAAAATAAATAGCTCTGTAAGTTTTCGACATGGGATGCTGACCACATTAGTCTTAATGGACTCACCTAGCTGAAGGTGCTCGGTCATGCATCCGCACCAGATCACGAGTGGGAACGCCGTGCTCAATAACCCCTGCAATCGCTAGCCAGATTAGATCAAACGATTCTCGATATATTGACAGTTAACAAATATATCTTCCGATCTCCTCGATTCTGTCTTTTGATTTCTCTTGGTGGGTACGCTTCATATTAGGTGTTACTGGTTAAAGAGTTGTCAAACACTGAATAGCTGTACCATCTTCAAACTGTACCAAAACAAATACATTTTCTCCGTTGATTGTGACCTTGTACGAGTTCGGTTACGCTCAGTAACCACATTTATAACCTGGCACGATCTCGGTATTCTTTCGACACCACGAGATCGCCAACAAATACATCTCGACTACAACCATCGACTGCTTTCTGATATTTGGCTTACGGGGGATCTTATCGGCTAACTGGCACGTACTCTTCCTGTAGTAGTGATCATAGTCAACTGCGACTCGACGCAACACTACATACTCATTGTCAAAACCAGTATTTTAACCCTGTCAATAACACGTTTTCTCAAATTTTGAATGGTCTTGGTGTTCTATTAGCTACGTGTCTCATTCCAAGTTGGGAAAATTGGGAGATGTACAAGGGATCACTTCTAATGTTTTTGGTATCTAGCTGATCTTATTCCGAACTCGTCTTTGTGTGGGTCAGGACTGGCAGTTACCCCGGAAGAGTTATATGCAGGGTTGAAATACGAAGGCCGTGCATTAAATACATCACCTGCACATCCTCTACATAATTCATGATTTCCTATCCTGTTTTATTCCAATCCCTCTTTATTTTTCTTACTGTTCTCTTCATTTCGGTTTTCTCAGTCTTCTGCTGCCAGGTATTCCACTTCAGTTTGATGTTACATACTACTTTCACCTGCCAACACAAGTAGCGTACACCACACTGTACATGCAAGGTAATTTAACTATTTAAATATATACCCGGCAACACTTTTTATTCTAATTCCCACGCAATTCATTCATTCTCGGTCATCAAGTTAATGATAACAATTATAACAGTACTATTCTGTATGACTATAAATTTCATAACAAACCTTCAATATTTAGGTTTACAGAGTTATAAGGCAAAATGGTGATCCGAATACAAGATAGGAAGTAAGCGTTCGTGACCAAAATTCTAAGCAATGCAGGTTCAAAGCTAGAGTAAAACAAGCCTATCAAAAAACCAGTACAAAAGGGTAACCTTTGCAATAGTATTTTACTGTAAGTTGAATGCTTAGATTTTCTCACCTGGCAAGCACGTTATCATTAACTCTAAGCTGCCTATCTCTGACTTACAATTTTTTGACAATATTTAGCCTAACATGATTATGCGGGTAAAAATATATCGACTCCCAATTAATGTATTTCATCCGTAAGATTGTTGGTTGATACCCATTCTTCCGTAAAAGCTCACAGTTGGAAATGAACAGCCTTTTAAGAACTAATGTGTCACTTTCTCCACCTAGGATGGTTCTATGAAGGGACTGGCAACGGGTCCACACGGATAACAAGGTAGATTGATAAAGTACTGATAATCGGTGTGAGACGTTATCAGTAGTACGATTTCTACAGTTTTACCACCTTAACCTCATTATACGTCGTATTACATCTAATAAGGCAGCGTCCATCTTGATGACTCAACTTGAGTGATTCTCTGTCTCTATCAGGTGTTCAGCTTTCCGTGGAATGGAAGTATCTGTGAGAAAAATTAATTTCCAAGTACAGCTTATTACTTTCAATTAGCATTAATGAAAACATTAAGTAACTAGCTTTCTTCTAATGTATATGAACTTTTGTAATAAACCATACCAACAACCGGTGGTCTCCCGTTTTTCAAAAAGTGTAAAACCAAAGATTTTTGAGATTGCGCATTAGAATTAGTTCGACGAAATTTAATTACTTATTGACCGTTGAACAAAGAAATAAAGTTTCAAAGATAATGATATATTTATATAACAACACACCTATCCAAACATTTATAACACAGACTAGAACATTCATCTATATCAAAACGTATAATTTTACCCCTAAGTGACATAACCCTAAAAGCCGGGTTACTAACAGGACGAACAACTAACTGAACAAGTCAGGCACAGGATGACAGCGTAATCGAGCATTCCTCGCTTCAATCTTGGTGTTTTCTCCTTCAATATATTCTTCGATAAATTGATTAATACCTACAAATAGTTAAAAACAATAAATAGAATAGGAACAACGGAAATCATGAGCATTTTAAGAGCACATTGTTAAAATGATGAACAAATGCGAATAAATTACAGCATCCGACGCTTCCTTCTAATGGCATAATTTTGACTATTTGGTTCATTCAATAGACAGAAAATTTAGTAACAAGAAAATTAAGAGATGTATATAGTTTCAGAAACAAACGTTGGTGAGTGGATGATATGCATGATTATGCTCAAACTACCATGAAAGCGAAAGCAACAGTTTTAAGCGTACGATGCCAAATGTTCGACACATGGTAATGACATCTACGGTGTGCAACAATAGAAAACCATTGAGTATCCTTTGTGATCATAATAAATTGGTGGCACATTGTTGCATTATGTTAGGATTATGCATTTAATAGACAGTATCTAATTCCTTCCGGAAGCAACTCAATCTTAATACAGTTCACAGTAACCTATAAATCAGCTATACATTGAAAACTCGGCATGGATATGCAAAAACGTATGACATTTTTGATGAAAGTATAAGATGTATTTATATGCAAACAGCGTAATGCTTTAAATAACAAAATCTTATCTGAAACTTTAATGTAGCTTTGTAGTTATGTGTATAACACGCCACAAATAAACAGATTTTTATCCTCGAAGCCTTCAGAATGTATAACCAGTTCGGATGCGAATGCCTCTCTCAGTAATGTCTTTAGATGTGGAAGTTGTTATAGATGCAGTATCGACATTGAGTGCGATTTATGAGCCTATTCCAGAGAGGAATGGTAACGTCATTATATTCTAAGCCAATAACAACACTTGCTTCGCTAATCTCAGGCGTACGAAAAGCTGCCTTGCTCATTTAGACCGATAGATGAAAGACTAAAGTGTGCAGTATGGGGTAAATACCAGTCAGAACAAGGGTCTTCAATATTATATCTCCCGTGTAGCAGCTAACAAACACTTCGTTCCTGTCACTAAAACCTACGGACAACGCGGCTCATACAGTTTTTGAGAGACATCTAAGATACGACTTTAAGCTATTTATATTTTCCATACTTAAAAACTAAGGGACTGAAGGAATCTGAAAACAAATTAAGGAATAGAGTGCGAATCGCGAAATTAGGTCGAGCAAAGTCAAGAAAGTTAACCTTTTTCTTCTGTGAAAAATTGACAGGCATTTTACAGAAATTCAAAGCATCGGCTATTTTAGGGAGCTGAAAATGAAAACTCATTGGAAGATTTAGGCTAATTCTATATAATCTTTAAACTCATCACCTATTAATTCACCATCCTTGTTCCTTAACAATATCGTCTATAATTATTAACATAGTAATGATAATCTTCCCTCTCTGCTAGCATTCATTATGATTTTTTAAGAGTAGAAGAAAGTGGCGAATGTATTGAGTTTAGCCACCAGTAGTATTATCCTCAAGAAACTAATTGCAATAGTAACGCGAACTATATTTACACATCGGCACATAACTATGGAAGAAGCGTTAGGATAAGACTTATAATATCAAGGATATTAAGAACTGACATTAACTGGAGAGCCATTAACTCTTATTTCGATAATAATTGTGTTACTTACGCCTGTTACTCCTCGTGAAGGAGCATAGGGCGCTCACCAGCATTCTCCATCCAACCCTGTCCTGGGCAATCCTTTCCAGTTGTTATTCATCCTTTTCATATCTGCTTCTATTTCCCGACGTAATGTGTTCTTTGGCCTTCCTCTTTTCCGCTTCCACTCAGGATTCCAAGTTGGAACTTGTCTCGTGATGCAGTTTGGTGATTTCCTCAATGTATGTCCTATCCATTTCCATCTTCTTTTCCTAATTTCCTCTTCAGCTGGAAGTTGGTTTGTTCTCTCCCACAGAAGGCTATTGCTGATGGTATCCGGCCAATGGATGTTGAGTATCTTGCGTAGACAGCTATTTATAAATACTTGTACTTTCTTGATTGTGGTTGCTGTAGTTCTCTAAGTTTCAGCTCCGTACAGTAGAACTGCCTTGATGTTCGTATTAAAGATTCTGACTTCGATATTGGTTGATAGTTGTTTTGAGTTCCATATATTCTTCAATTGTAGGAATGCTGTCCTTGCTTTGCCAATCCTCGCATTTACGTCTGCATCTGAACCTCCTTGTTCATCGACGATGCTTCCTAGGTATGTGAGGGACTCTACATCTTCCAGAGATTCGCCATCAGGAGTGATTGGATTGCTGTTCTCCGCCTTGAATTTGAGGACCTTGGTTTTTCCCTTGTGTATGCTGAGGCCTACTGATGCAGAGACTACTGCTACAGTGGCTGTCTTTATCTGCATTTGTTCGTGTGTATGTGATAAGAGGGCCAGGTCATCTGCGAAGTCCAAATCGTCTAACTGGTTCTGATCTGTCCATTGTATGCCGTATTTTCCCTCAGATGTCGAGGTTTTCATAGTCCAATCGACCACCAGAAGAAAGAGAAAGGGAGAGAGTAGACAGCCTTGTCTGACTTCGGTCCTTACTTGGAATGCATCTGTCCTCCATGCACTACTTTGCACTCTAGTCCGTCGTATGAGTCTCAGATAATGTTGACAATGTTCTCAGGAACTCCGTAGTGCCGAAGAAGTTTCCATAACGTTCTCCTACCTACACTGTTAAATGCCTTTTCATAATCAATGAAGTTGATATATAGTGATGAGTTCCACTCAACTGATTGTTCGACGATGATCCGTAGTGTTGCAATTCGGTCTGTGCACGACCGATCCTTACGGAATCCAGCTTGTTGATCTTGAAGTTGTGAGTCTAATGTGTCTTTCATCCGGTTCAGCAATCCTCTGTTAAAGACTTTCCCTGATATTGACAGGAGTGTAATGCCTCTGTAGTTTTCACATTTGCTCAGATCTCCTTTCTTTGGAATCTTGACGAGGTGTCCTTCTTTCCAGTCCATCGGCACTTGTTCCTCCTCCCAAATCTTTTTGAATAGAAGGTAAAGCATGCATGTGGTTGCTTCGATGTCTGATTTCAGTGCTTCAGCTGGTATGTTGTCGGGTCCTGCTGCTTTCCCGCTCTTGATTTTTCTGATGGCCATTCTAATTTCTTCCGTCGTTGGTGGATTGACATCTATAGGAAGATCTGTGTGTGCTGCTTCGATGTCCGGTGGATTCATCGGAGCCGGCCTATTCAGGTGTTCCTCGAAGTATTCTACCCATTTGTTCCGCTGTTGTTGAATTTCGGTGATTGGCTTGCCTTCTTTGTCTTTGACCGGTCTCTCTAGTTTAATATGTTTCTCTGCTAGTTTCTTCGTTGTACCGTAAAGCTGTTAGTTTGGGACAATTTTAAAGATAAATTTGTGAAGTTCTAATGAGAAGACGTTGTGTGTGGGCACAATCAATGCAGTGAGTGAAACCAACGGTACTGAGTGACTGTAGCTATATAACACGAGTCGAATAAGGGTAAACATGTTCTCTCAGACTACTAGTCGGTGGTATATGGAAAGTTCTCCGACAAGAGGGGATAACAATTTATTTTTCGATCACATGTGACACTATAGATATACACGGCTAAGGAGCTTCAAACTGAAAAGTAACGACTGTACGCCACTAATGTGTCTTGAACGGTTCTTCATATTGACGAACACTAGCTGTGAATCGATCAATCGCCGTGCAACTTTATCTGATTCTGCTTTCTACTGATGGATGCTAAAAGGTAATATCCGGTCAGATCATCATCTAAATCAGATTTTGTCCGGTGAGACATTCAATAGACTCAACGCTGCACATCGTAACTAAACTCAAACCTATTATTCATTTTGTATTGTTTATTTGAATATTCTCATTGATGTTTAGGACTACAATTGATCAGTCTCTTATGGGCATATATGCATCCTGTACGGATTGCCTCGATACTGCCTTAAATCACAAGGATAATAAGTAAAGATGGATGGTGGCTAGCATTGGAACTCTAGGATGCAGGTACATTTGCCTGACGAGTCCCAAATAGGATGAAACGCATGTCCTGGATTTCACTGCTAACCACCACCCATCAAACCTATTATGTTAATATTTTTCTACAGCAACTAATTCTTATGTTTATTGATACCGCTGTAAGCATAACAAAGTTAATGATATAAAAATTTCGTGAAACATGAATACTTTTCAATTAAGTTACCGTAAAGTCACCTACAAACGACCTTTTTATCATGAAAAATATCTCAACAATCTGATTTACTTACTTGGATGTTGAAACAATTTTTCTCCATCCATGTTAACATAATATGTTCCAGTATAGTACCAACCTTGTGGAAGAGGATATAAATGATACCTTTCCTTAAAGACAGATGGAGAATAAATATTCTTAAACGGCAATGAAACACTGATGTGAACATTCAAAAACAATGAGTTTTGTAAAAGTTTATTGAGTATTCAGAAATAACAACGGAGAAGTGTAGCAATTTTTATCACAGTCCTATGAAAAAGTATTCTTACTGTTAAACAAATATTATTGATTCTAGCAGAATCTTTGTTCTTGCTCTTTTCAAAATGATAAAGGGAACTATGTGTATGAAATATTATTGAACCTGATAGCTTGTGATAAATGTGTCGGTTTTAACTATAAAGATCTGTTTTTTTATAAGTACGTGTGATCTTATATACGTGTACTTTTACTACTCGTGTCTGTATTAGTTGTATTTATTTATTTTATTATGTTTACTTTGTACGTGTCTGTTGTTGTTTACAACATTCACTATATATACGAATTATACATAAGTTTTTAGTGGCCCCAAATCTGACTCCAATTAAATCGTACGACCTTGTCGATGCGTCCACCATTTGAGTGCCTCTGGATCTGACTTCAATAAGATCATGTGATTGATTGCTATTGAAATATGCATATGTCGGCTGTCCTCTTAAATTTCATCGACTTAGATCGCGTTAGCGTATAACGGAATTTAATAAATCAAATACGAGAATGGATGCTTGAATACGTATATTTTGTACACTCGTTGATGGGGACAGACAATCAGAGAATCGCAGCGAATGAAGGGAAGAAGAGAAAGCGAAGCAAAAACAAGAGGACGAGCAGTGGAAATGGAATGTGAGCCAACTCCATTTAGTCAAACGTTAATCAATATTTTTAGTCACACAAAAATAAGCCACAGATATGTGATGAGTAGGATAAGATGTACACAAGCGCTCATATAAAAACAGTCAAGGTTGATAAGTGAATAATTAACAAGGTCAAAACGTGACTCAAGGAGAATAGATAAATTGAACTGTGCAGAAGTTAGAATAAGTTGTAAGGGCTTAACGTAGTAACTGACACTACAAGTTTACTAAAAGACTTACATTTTGATTGCGCTATTACTGCATCTCCACTTTATGTTTATCTGACTCACATTCACAGTTTGTCTGCAGATATATCATTCCTGCTAACATCTAGTACTTCGACTATTGGTTTACTGTTGTATTGACGTGTAAAGTGGTAAGGATGTATAGGAAGATTAATATGGGATATATGTGCATTTCATCATGAACATGATTCATGATGAATTGTAGTCACTTAAGGATTACATTAGTATACGTTAACGAATTTCACTGTTTTCTGAATAGTCTGAACTGAACTACCTAAAGCTTAGATGTGCTCAACCACTTGAAATTTATTGACGACAATAAATGTCTCTTGTAAAACAATTAAAAAATAAAAACGAATGTCCGAGATTTTTTTTTTTTCAATATGTTCTAAATGAAGAAACTGTTTAGAAACAGAATACGTAGTTTGAATATCTTTGTTAAGGTAGACTAACCATCATAATTTTAAGTAATTAGGATACCGTTTTTTGATTTAAGATATGAAAAATGAGTTTTTAAAACGGCGAAAAATGTTTTCTCATTTTTAACGGGAACTGAATAAAGAAATGTTGAAACATCATGTGACTTATTAAACCATTCAGTATGTTTAAAGTGTTTTATCAACCCCTTTTATATGAATGATTTTTTCATTACACACCAATGCTGATTGGGAGAAAGACTTATTCATCAGACGAGTTTCAAGTAAAATGAAAAATAAGTCCTGGAATCAGCTGGTCGAAAAATTAATTTATGTAACTGTTGAATCCTTAATAAATGAACATTCTGTAGTTGGACTCTCTTTGGATTGATTATTATAGAATATTCTAGGCTATTCCTTTACGATTCATAAATTACACGGTTATTTCAATTTGTTACATTTCTAGAGTGTTTAATTAATAAACTATCCCATTAATCGTCATATCTAAACTTCCAATTTAACACTCGGTAACTTGATAGCGTTTTCAGTTTACTAGGAAGTACGGATCATATAGCTTATGCTTGGAGTCGTGTTTAATTCCATTGGTTAGTGAAGCTGAAATATTTTACCTTCGTTCATTCATATGAAGAGAGTTGAAAGTTTTCGTGTTCACAACAAACGACTTCTTAAATATACAAGATACTATGGTAGAACTATTGACATTTAATAACAGTTCAATTAAGTGTTACGAATCAATTTATCAGTTCTAATAATCTAATGGATAAAACAAACTGATCAGTACATATACTCCTTGTTGTTTTTCCTTATTTGTAGCATCTTTATAATGAGTTCCTGATGTATCTCTATTGTGCGAGTATATATCTACTCTTTCGTTTATTCTTGAAATGGTATTTCTACAATTTTACCGCTCTGGCAGCAATCAACATTATCATAAAAGTCACAATTATAATTATAAAAGAAAGTATTATGTGTACTAAACACATACAATCATAATTTATATAATTACTTACATGAATTTTATTGAAGTCTTCTTCAGTTAAATCTGATCTTTTTATAAGTTCTCTAGGTTTCTCATATTTAGCTGTTGTTTCTCTAATCCAATTAGCAAATAAATTATTTAATTCATTTGAATTTTCCATATTATTTGATGAATCTGCTATTGTACAAGTTAACCAGTAAGGTTTGTCGTTTCTATTTGACTTTTTATTTACTTGATATAAACAATTGATACCCGACAAGGTTACATAGTCCAATTCATAGAGTTTCGATGAATCTAAAAATATTAAATTAGCCAAATAGATTACATGAGTGTTGTAAATTATATCTTGTACAAGTTCATTATTTTTCTGTTATATCCCGATGAGAATAGTGAATGGTAACTATAGGGACCCATTTATGGACCAATACTATACGTATATTTTTGTCGTATACTTGTTAAATAACTAAACTTTTCATATTTGTGTTTCTCTTATCATAAGCTTTATTTTGACCTATGAACTGTTATTATATGATTTACCATTCTTGAGTTATACCCAGTTTGTCAATTACTACCTCCCACATTGACAGCCGCTTTTGGCTAAATCTTGTACAAATGTTGTTTCTTATTTCACGGTTCGATGTGGTTTGTCTGGTTGGTATATAAACCCAGTATGTTTGAAATATCGCAGAGGCTGAGATTGGTATTCTGGACTTAACAGGCTGGGCTAGGCGGGAATCAGGACCGATAAGCACTCTAAACTGCTCGTACGGGTTTTGTCCGTCATTGGTCCGATCGATAATTCACTGTTCTCTAATTGGCGGTATCATTACGTTATACATTTATAGGGGCACAAATCCTCAAGATAAAATATTTTCTATTCTTGGTTTCTCCTCATCAAATTAAATAAAGAACCTCTTAGGTATAGCGAAAATCATAAGGATTTACGTCAACGCTGATTATTCATTTCGCATTGTTTATTTGAATCTTACCCATTGATGTTTAGGACTGAAATTAATCAGTCTCTTATTGGCATATATGCATCCTGCGCGGATCGCCTTAATATTACCTTAAGTCACTAACATTATAAGCTAGCCACTATTCATCGTTGTTTATAACTCTGATTATTATTTTCAAAAGCTGTTTAAAATAACCTCATCCTCACCTTTCGTATCTCTTATCAACTGCTTAAATATTTAACCTGATTATTACCATACACAACCAAGATTATTTTCCAAAAAATACTAGTCAGGTATTTAGTTTTGATTGATTGTTTTAATAAGTTTACTTCTTTAAGTTTGACCCATATCCAGAGTCGAACATATTTGCTCATATTACGGTTACGATTAAAACAATCACCTTCCTATCAATTTTAACTTAATATTTATGTATCTATATCACTCTTACTATTGACACACAAATTGCCTTGATTAGTCGAATGTTTCTTTATTTATGTATACAACTATTGTTGTATATTAGAATAAGATATATGAAAGTGTATGCGCACTGCTGAAGAGTCCCATAATACGACGAAACGGCCGTCCAGTGTTTCCAGGTTTTCTATGGTGGTCTAGCTTGAAATGACTCATGATCTCAACTATTGAAAATAATAGTGTTTGCTAAAATGTCTTGTTTATATCTTCCAGTTTTTTTTCTAACTTTAAAACTAAATTTTCAACTTCATTTATGTCGATGATTTCACAAATATCAGATGGATTATAACTTTTAAACTAATTTAGTATAGTGAATCACGTGATTTCATTTTGTAAGCAGTATTTGTGATGGACCGATATTAATTAAGGTACCATTGATTTTCGGTTTTACGATTATCAAAATGGTAAAGCATTTCTATAAAAGATGAGACAATTGTTAAACTCAATGTAAATATGGATTCTATTTGAAGAGAATTATGTTAATAAATGTAGGAAAGAACAAATTATCTTTCTAGATTGAATTTGGCTCTTAAATAAGGAATAAAAACAAATTATGTAATATACATTTGATTGGATGAAATGTTAATTTAATTGTATATCCTATATGTCATTGAGAATAGACATAGCAGCAAATCTATCAACCTTTTCAATGTTTCATATTAAACTATTTATTATCAAGAAGTTTTTGTTACTTGGAGATATTTATCAAGACTTGTATACCTCTACGTGTGATATCTTATCTCAACGAATCACTAATATATTTGAGTTAATATTACTTGCCAATTTGATATCTTTCTCGATATTCTTAGCCTCCTTAATTTTGAACAGTTAGACTAATTTATATACAGGTCATAATTCATTAAATCCTGTTACTTGTTGTGGTTTAGTTTCAATTGCGTTATTTGGAAAGTATATTTTATTTTGATATCACTTCATACAGGGTAATCGATGCTTAATCACTACAGGAATCGAGATTTGTAAATTTCTGTTGTTAACCTTGTTTCTTATGATAGTGCAATAATATTCCAAAGGATTGGTGTATTTTGATCTCCAGATCTCTTATGATATTCAATCGTTCAGCTAGAATTCCTGAAAGTATTTTATATATATCGTGTTAATAGACAAGCATCTTAGAGCTTACTAATGAAAATAGCTAGGTTATGAGATTACAATGAACTTACCGTCTACAAAAGCGATTTGTCCACATAATGTGTAGATGTTACCATGAAAAGGCCATGGTTTCAAGTCTTTAAATATGCCTTTAGTGAGATAGAAAGGAAGGATTATCAGATTATTCACTTTAGTTATTAATCCATTAAAAGCATAGAAACTGATAATAAAATTTATCCTTAAAAGCTTCAAAATTTCCAACACACTAAAACACAGATACATGAATGATGAATATTCTCAACAGATGTTACAGTTATGCATCCAGTGGAGCAAGTCAAATATGAGGGAAATACATTTCTCAAAATTATAGCACATGAGCTTAGCATTTTTGGTAAAATAGTATAAAATTATAAATGGTAATCGACAATGTCAACTTGAATCAGTTTATAGGTTAATTGGAATTTTGAGATTAATCGGAATAAATATGGACAATATAGGCTCAGAGAAATAACTCAATTACAAATCAGATAAAATATTTGACCGAGGATTATGTGATGCATAAGGTTATGAATTAAGTAGGAAAAATTAAGGTGGGATGAGTCTTGGCTAAATTCGTTATGTGTTTACAAGATTCTTAATAATAATAGTAATAGTAACAATGATACAAAGATATGTGAACAGTAATGCCAATAATATTCTGCTTCTGGTTTCTAATGTTCTTTCGAACTAAAATTTATTGATTACAGTGTATAAAACTTTATAAAACATCATTTCCAGCGTGCGAGTGGAATTCAAATGACGAACTGTTCACATGAGTTAGGAAACTAATAAATCACAACCTTAAATACTTAATTTCTCTTATTGTCATATAAAAGGAACAATCTAAGTGTAAATAATCTTAACTTTAAAATAATAATGTTGGAACGTAGATGAATAAACTTCACCGATTGTTAGTGTGGAAGTCAGACGTTTTTGAAGGAATTACACAGTTTCCACCCTTTCAAACATTTTGAACTATAAAGACGCTATTAATCAAGTGTAATACTCACCATTCAAAGCATTCATAAATAACTTTCGATCAAGTTGTCGATTAAAATGTAGTGTTATATTGCGTAATCTGGGGAAGGTGGAGTGAGAGTACAAAGACTGAAATTTGAGAAAGAAGAGTGAATGAAATTATTGATTTTATTACAGTTGAAAATTTCTAAAAAAAATTTTTTTCAGTTTTATTTCTCTTTAACTTTAAACTTTCATCAGCTGTATTTTTATTGATAACTAGTAAGAAAGTATATGAGTTTACTACAGTCTGTAAGTAAATAGATACTTGTTCCCAAAGAAAACTATGAAGGATAATATGATTTAGATTACCTGTAAGGTTCCATTGAAGAAGAAATTTAGAATGACAAAGCACTATTAGTGAAAATTGAATTTGATAAAGTAACAAAATTCTAAAACTAATAAACAAAACAAAGTAACTAATTTTAAAGAGACAATAGAGTGTCAAACAACTGCTTATCGTTCATGAATCCATTAGTAACACAAATTTCAATATTATTTATTATGAACGTTGAAACATTGAGTCAAATAAAACTGAAATACAAAAAAATCTTTAAACAAAAGCATAATTTGAGAATGATTCTTATTTGTTTTGTCTATTATTGGTATAATTTGTCAATCAGTATTCAATCTTGTCATATAATACTATTAATTTATAAGTAGCATTAAGCAAAGGATGATGAAAAAAAAAGAAATTTATCCATTTTAATATACTTTTGCTGACGGGTTAATGATAACATTAATAAGTTTATATTCTATAGTGAAATTTCAACAGTTAAAAGAATATATCTATGGGACAGGTTTAAACTAAAGACAATGAACTTAAACCTATATGAAACTAATCATATTAGTTTCGTTGTTATTTCCCAGGTTATGAGATAGCAACGTGTTTAGATCGGTGATCAGATAGTCATTCACAAATGATTATTAGCTCTATCTAACAAACATTGAATTTAAGAACAGTTTACAAAATTTTGTTCACTCAACATTATATGTAACATAATTCTACTTGTATGCAAAGATGAATAGTGGCTAACCGTCGAATCCAGGACTCGCGTTTCGTCCTATTTTGGACTCGTTAGCTGGATATACCTTCACCTCAGAGTTGATGTTCACTCTGGGCTCGAACCCAGTACCGTTCGCTTCAAACGCCATCGCGTTATCCACTTAGCTACTGAGTCCTAATAGCCAATCGCTTGTTCAATGGGGTGAAGTTCAAATTCACTTGTTTGCTAGAATAAATGCTAACAAAATATTCATTCAGCTTTAAACTCGTTGAATTCGGACATTCCTTTAAATAAAAGTCCAAATTTTCAACATGTTATTTTTTTTGGAAGTGGTTTAATTTTTCACAAGAAACGTTTATTATTATTGTATTAGTGACAGATTTATTACCTTGGGTAAGATAACAAACGTGCACGTTGCAATGTTGGATTTGAAAATTCGTTTTCATCCATTAGTGCTTCAAGTGTATGACTATTTTCAGTTTTCCCATCTGGAATGAATAGATGACTCAAACGTGGATTGACTGAATGTAAGAGTTCCTCAATTTCAGTAAATGGTACACCCATTTTGGTAGCATTCACCTAGTAGAAAAGGTAGATAAGATGGTATGGTAGCTAATAGTACATCAATTAAAAAACAAACGTCAATGGAAAAAGATGTGTTCTTCTGATATGGATATTTTAATTACATGTGTACTTTGAGAAAGACCATAAACATCTTATATCACTATCTCTCTTTGAAAAACTTCTCACTATTTACTCGTTAAATAATTCTCTAAGATAATCCAATTTATAATTGAATGTATTTTTTTAAACAGGTTAGTGTTGTTATAGTTCTTCACTTAGGATTCATACTGAGTGATTTGTTCATGTCATAGGTTAAAGATTTCGGCAGTAGACTCAATTAAAAATATGTTTTCACAAACGATATGCGATTGACATTATAGTCACGTGTAACAAAATAGAAGGTGCGAATTTGTTATTAAGGAAATCTAACACTTCAAAATCATATTGCTCTTTCCAGTAAAGGGGAGAGGAAATATGAGTCTATTCCTCTAAGATAAGATGTCTGTTAGTCGAAAAGAAAACGATTTAATCTACCTATAGAAAACCCACACAGACAAAACTGTCTTAGTTTTCACAGTAACTGTTCAGTTCGATACAAAGGAGGTTTGATCAAAAGCTTATGATTGTATCTGGACAAATGATACTAATGAAACTGAGGCGAAGTCACTGAAAGAAGCACTTATAAAGAATGAATATCCATCAAAGTTCATAAACCGATAGAAAGAATGAAGTATGTTGGATCTATTATACTTCTAGAGTCTCAAAAAGCTAACTACATCTCTCTACCATTGCCTGATGAGTCAAATGGTCGTATTGTAAAACCATGGCCAGGAGCAACTACCAGTAAAATATACTATGCAATCAGTTTCATTACTATTGAAAAAGTAACATTTATGCTTCACTTAAAACATAAATAGCATGTGAACAAATGCGTCACATATCATTGTATTTACTAGTTTACACGTATGTATGGACACACATGAAGAAGTAGGAGAACACATAAAAATGGTGATTTAGAACACCTTTCATCTAGAGATATCAATTTGTCATCAGTTGTTACGCAGCGACAAGATAGAAATTAAAAGGTGTGAAAGTGCTCATTTAGCAATTAAAATTTCTAGTGTAATAGTTGTATACCTGGTTAGATTTTGCAGGTCCTGTTAACAGTAGATAGTTTGTCCATCCTTCAGCAATCAATTCTAGGACACCTGGAAACGTCATTCTGTAAAATATAAGTATGGATTTACAAAATGTGTTGAAAAAATCATTTATATGATCGCCTTGACAATTGATTAAACAATAAAACAATTGGTTTGCAGATCATAGACAATGAACATTATATTTACTTTGTTTAGCTTATGTAAACTTTTCAATTTTAATTTTGTTTTCATATTAATAACTCATTTCATTAACAAAGGAACGTCGAGAGCATAGTCTATTCCGCTCTTTAGTTAAAGCTAATAATTATACTATTGTCAAGTTAATAGAACATTAAGAGTAAAGATTGTTGATAAGCAAAAGGCTTAAGTAGAAAAGTTCTAGTTAATGGTAAGTTAAGTGTTACGCAACCATTTAGGTACTATTATAAAATTGCAAACTAAATATTCTACTGAATAAACAAATACTATAGAACAGTTCAGACTTATCAGCATATCTGACAGACAGATGATCATTTTTTTATTTTATAATATTGAGAGTTTATAGTCATAAGAATCTGGTTAATACATCTTCATGTTTCTATGGTCTAATTTACAAATACTGAAATCACTGTGAGTTATCCAGTAAAAATTGAGACCGACTTGAAATAATGTGAAATATTCTTTATTTATTTGTGACAAATCAGTATCATCAATATTAGTGCTGTTTAAATAACTATTTGGATGAAAAAAGCTAGAATGTTCATTATTTTTTCTCTAAAACTTCAAGAAAAACTATCGATGAGTGAAGAAATCATTTCATATTACCTTAGTTCTCAACTCATACTGAATTCAAAGTCAAAGTGGGTTAAACAAAAGATTTGACATCAAACTAATAGTCATATTTTTGATTGAGCTCATGAAACGATTGATGTTAGACCACCATTAAAAACCTGGAAGCACTGGACGGCTGTTTGTCCTATTTTAAGACTCCTCAGCAGTGCGCATCCACGATCCCACTCTCGGGATTCGAACCCAGGGCCTTCAGTCTCGCGCGCGAACGCCTAACCTGCTGGACGAAACGGCCGTTCAGTGCTTCCAGGTTTTCAGTGTTGGTCTAACATCAATCGGTTCATGATCTCAATCAAAAACTTAACAACCTCCACAACCCCTAGACTGATAACAGTCATATATCTGATTCATAAGAAAATAGTGAAGTTAGTATTATTTTATTTTTATTCATTAATATGTACTGTAAACTAAAAGTCTTCAAGTAAGGATAATTCTTCATATATATTGAATTTATGTATGAGACCACAAAATTGATAAATAAAAATACGCATGGGGATTTGTGGATATTGTAGTATTTTCACGATTTAATTCAAATGTCCACCAGTGACGAATGAATTCCAATCCATGTGGGATGTGAGACAGTTATCTACCTCAGACAATGGATGAACGGTCGTGCAAGAGCACATATCAATTGAAGTTAAATATTAACATCGTTGTATGCCGGCCCAGTGGTCTAGAGATTAGATGTTCGCGCGAGACCAAAGGTCCTGGTTTCGAGTCCCGAATGCGAAATTGTGGATACACACTGTCGAGAAGTCTCATGCTAGGACGAAATGGCCATTCAGTGCTTCCACATTTTTAATGGTGGTCTAACATCAATCGGTTCATGATCTCAATCAAAAAAATAATCCATTAAATATAAGATTTCTGTTAATCAAATATATTTATAGATTTAGAAGAGAGCTGAATGAATAGATCTCAAACAAAGTGAACATGTTAATCTTAAGTATATGATGAATACCTTCCATTATCCATAATGGCCATTCGTAAATCAACACATGTGGCGACACAACCTATCAAGAAATAACAAGAAGTGGAGAAACTTGGTAACAAATATGAACTTAATCAAAATAGTTCAGTCTAATTAGACAAATATTTTCTGTCATATTAAAACAGTAGTATGCCAGTTTAAATGATTAAAACTGATTAATGGCAGATGTTGCACTTTTTGAACTTTTAACGTCAGTGATTTGCAGTTAGAATATTAAATAGAGAGTTAATTATGTAAAATATCTTTTCAAATGTTAATCTAGATTATCATAATTATTTAAATTTGTGTGACGATTATTTTAGTTTTAAAATGAACTATCGGTCAGTGTGTCTTACAAAGAGGTTAGCATCTTTGAACAGGTCTTTTTGTGAGAAAAACTAGACAAACCGTGTATATCGTCAGCTTGTGCCATATTATACCAACGCATCAATAACTCTTATTTGGTCAGTGCGAGACGCT